TAACATATCTAATTTATCCTTGTATTTTGCAGCTAACAGTTTCTCCATTTATCCACATTGAACCCCCAGAAGAGGGTTGGGGGGAGTGGGATGATGAAGTAAAAGACAAAAGAATTTCGTTTATGGTCTCACAGATTGAGCAGACTCATATTTTTACCAAAAATGAGTGGCCTGGTGGTGATTGTTCCCTTCCTCTCATGTCTGTTTCTGACCAGAAAGATAATGTCACCCACATGAAGCATGTTGTGCCAATGCGGAAACAAGTCTCCGGCAAATTGAGAGTAAACACTAAGAAAGACAAGTCTTCGGAAGAGAAGGAGGAGGCTTCTATTAACCCCAACCCGGAATCTCCTTCTTTGTCATCTGTTGCAACTGAGAAGGCTTTTCAAGATTTAAAAGTTTCTGTCGAGGGTGAGATCCAGTCCATTAGAAGAGAGTATGATACAATGTTTAAGAAGTTGTCAGCGCAGAACAAGAAGCTTGAAAACCAACTCAAATCACTTAGATTCCTTAGATACCGGAGACATCGCATTCGCCGCACCTCTCGGTTAACTAACAATCCTGGTGTAGTGTCAAAGGCCCCTGTTTCAACATCTACATTGCCTGTTGATGAAGTTAATGTCCGCACACCATCACCTACACATACCAAATCCCCGTCCCAACCTCTCGGGTCTCCAGCTGATATTTTTGAATCCAATCACAACTGGGATATGTACGTTGAGCCCTTAAAGCCCTTCTGTAGCCCTTCTCCTGTGGATGCTACGAAAAAGGTTTGCTCACTTTCTATTATTGTTCCTATTTTTCTCTTTTTGCTTCAAACCCCCTTAATTGTGTAGGCATTTTTCAATACCTGACTAGACCATATTCAAATTGCAGAATAGTGGATCCAGTCCCAATATCAGTTCAGAGCCAATATGCGAAAAGGTTTTTATTCCTCTTTATTCATTTACTTTGTGTAAAATTTTCCGAGTTTTCTAACATGTTTACACAACATCACACTTAAGGTTGAGTCTAGTCAATGTCGAACTTCTAATTCTGTCAACCCTATATACGACACTGAGACCAAGGTGATGCACACTTCTACTTTTTACTACTGATCATCTCAATTATGCCTTGGACATTCTAATAATCATTTGTTATTTGTTACTTAATGTCATGCTCCACATGATTCTGAGTTATCCTCGCAATCTCCCATATTTGACACTGTCCAGAAACCATCTGCTCTCATTGATGATCCGGTATTTTACTGCAGACCTCCTCTAGTCACTTTAAATTTGATACCAGATGCATAGAGAACCATGATCATGTTGGAACCTTTTTTTCTAAGGTAACCTCCCCTCAAGACATTATTGCTGATCAATCACCTCGACATACCGTGCTTCCATACACCAAATTGCTACAGGAAATCATGTCCACCTCCATGGTCACCCCTACTCAAAGAGAGGAGCAAAATGTTGTATGTCCACTTCGGCAATATTTCCCAAAATTGTATTTTCTGTTTTCCTCTTCTCATTAATTTATTTCTTTATTGTTGCAAGATTTTTGACAAGGAGGATTTTGTTGGAAGTGCTGTCTGCAACTTGATTGCTGATCCGCCATCTGAGTCTAATAAGGATAACAACAATGTATACCTCTACCTTATCATATTTTGCACACTAAAATCTAATTATCAGTTGGATTTAATTATTTTGTAAACAGGTTACCGATGGCGGTGTTGCTAATGTTATCCAGGAGCAGGATGTTGGAGCCCTGGTACCCGAAAACGGCGACAAGCCTATCAAAGGACCTAATGTTATCCAGGAGCAGGATGTTGGAGCCCTGGTAACCACAAAACCCTCATCATGTGGATAACTTTTTCTCAATTTTAGTGGATTTAGTTTCATGGATATCTATCAATTTTTGGTCATTTTTTGTTAATCGCTGCCACTATTATCTTTTACTTTGGGAGCAGGATATTGACTTGGGGACTTCTACCAATCAAATACATCAAACAGAAATGGATGGCAATGAGGTTTTGGATAACAACTGATGCTTTCCGAACTCGACTGGATATCAAATGTTTGACTCTAATCTCATCTGTTTACCTTTTCAGCCAAACAAGGACCATGATGGTTGCCTTAACAGTGATGCCTTGGAGAGTTACAGCCATTCAACACACCTCGATTCCGATAAAACTGATGACGACACTCCAGTACATCGGCCTCGACCGAAGATTGTTTTCGAGGGGGCAAGGGAGGGTTCTCAGGTATCTCTATTTTCACAAAGATACTTCAGTCTATAGATACACAATCCACACTCAGTTCATTTCTTTTTGACATTCAGGAAACCAATGGAGATGAGCCAGATGGAGGATCATCAACTTCTGATAGCGAGGCATTAGAGGTTATTTCATAGTCCCATTCAATACACCCTCTCCAAATTATTTATTTAACTTTTCTCCTTCCCTTTACCTTGTAGGAAACTGACTCAACCGGGGGGAATCGTGTTGAACTTGAGGTAAGCGATTCTTCCCCAGCCAGACCAAGGGAGAAGGGAATCCTATCTGAGGCTGAAGTTAAGCTCATAGATGTCATTTTGAACATGCCTCAACGGTCCCCAACTCAGCACACTAACCTTTTACCGATTGTCGAGAAAGATGTTTTAACTCTCTTCAAAAAAACATTAAAAGGCTCCCCCCATATGTAAGTTTTTTATTTTTCAGTTGGATCATATCCCCCGTCGTTTCCTACTAACTCAACCTACGCAGGGAACACCTCACCAAATGTGGATTCCTACTGAGCAACAAATTTCTACTACAGCTCATCAAGCCTACAAACTGGGTCGACACTTTTGTATTTTTTTCACATCCATTTTTTTGGTTGTTTACTTCAGCATACACTTCTACCCATCCATAACACCGACTTTTATTTTTCAGCACATTGAAGTTTTAGTTTCTTATTTGAAACGAAAGCACAACCATGTCCTCACTGTTGAGCGCTCACTCTTTCTTTCCCCATGGACTGCCAACTACCTCCAAGGGAAGTATAAATCTTTTTCTCTTGCCAGGAACAAGTCTAGAGTGCGCTGGGATGACCAGCTTAACCGTTCCATCAATGGTTCACCTTCACATTGGTTTGAACTATGGGATATGCTTTATGTCCCAATGAACTGGGGAGGCTCACATTGGGTCGGATTAGCTATTTCCCTTCCCAACTGGAGTTTGGAGATCCTAGACCCCAATATCCCGTTAAACGATGATGCAAATGTTGCGAAGCACATAGCTCCCATAGTTGAGATGCTACCCTACATTATCAACAAATTCTGTGACCCCCCCTCGACTCAGACACATGGTTTTAAACCTTTCAACTGGAGAAGGATTAAAGATTGCTATGTGAACCATAGATGTGGAGATTGCGGTCTGGTTGCTATGAAGTTCCTAGAGCTCTACGCCACTGGTGGTCCTGACACGATGGCTATGATCACTGATGAGGTAGTTGATAATTTCAGGGCCCAATATGCGCTCGATATCTACAAGGATCTGATTGCCCCCATCTACAAGTAGTTTCAATTTTTTCCTATGTTCTTATCTATAAACGTTCCTTCTAACCTAACGTATCCCCCATCCATATGTTTATGCCTATGTGTAACCATGTGTACGCTTATTTATGGACAATGTAGTTTGTTTTTGGGTCCTTTTTAAGGTCTCCTATGTGTAACTATGTGTACGCTTATTTATCAACCAATGGAGTTTGTTGTGGTCACCTATTCCACTACGGCATTATTACGTGGATTCAATATCTGGACATTATTTTTGATCACGTGTTTAAACTAACTTATCATAACCATGCGAACATCATTCAAAATGGTAGTTACTGTTCCATTGGTGGTGGATTATGGTTTGTATGAATTTTACACCAACTAATTCATCCAACTGCACATGGCGTACATGGATACTACTGCACATGGATTATTTTTACAAATCCACATGGATACTACTACCTGTTCGCATAAACATTTTTAGGGTATTGCCCATAAAGTGTTGCTAGTATTAGTTGGTCAGTTTAAGAGGTTGGTTATTGGATTAGGGTATAGGAACCATTGACAATTTTAAAAATGTTTTAATTTTTTTATTTACAACATTATTAGGGGTATGGATACTTTTAGGGTATTGTTATTTTTTTTATTACGTTTATGCATCCATATGGATATGGTTAAATGTATGAAATTAGCATAATTCCGATTAAATACTACTTCTAAACAAGCGGCTTTAGTTTTAGGGTATTAGAGTTACTGTTCACTGTTCCATCCATATGGTATTAGAGTTAATGTTCACTGTTCCATGGTCTGATGACCAGTTTTAGGGTATTGGTAGTGGATTATGGTTTCTATTAATTTCACACCAAATGCACAGTATTACTACAAGGATTTTTTAATACGTTTAATCATAACCATGTGAACATCAGTACTTGTTCTATTTGAATGTAAATGAAGTTTAGGCTATTGGTTTATTTTTACAAGTCCACATGGACACTACTACGTGTTCACATGGATATGGTATTTGGAGATACATTACAAGGAGATATTAATTATTTCTATCATCCATAAATTTTAAAATGTTTTAATTTTCTTTATTAGTTCTAAACCAACTAATTCATCCAACTGCACAGTATTACTTGATTTTAGTAGTTACAGGTCTCATATAGTGTTCTTATTCATCCATATAGAATGTAAATGAAGTTTGGGGTATTGGTTTATTTATACAAGTCCACATGGACACTACTACGTGTTCGCATTAACATTTTTAGGGTATTGGATTAAGGTGTGTATGGATACTTTTAGGGTATATGGATATGGTAACGTTTTCAGCCTATCATTTAGGGGGTATTTGGAGATACATTACAAAATGTTTTAATTTTTTTTGCATAATTCCGATTACATACTATTTCTAAACAAGGGGATGCCCCTAATTATAGGCTACCGAGAATCATAGGTTACAGAAAAGACAAATACAAGCTTGTTTATCAACCAAAGACAATAAGAAGAAATGCTAATACGATAAATGCGGACAACCCAGCCAAGAGAATTCGTTGCCTTTTGATGACTTTTGCTACATCCTCAGCTTCCTTCGTCATATCATATTGTAGTTCCATAATCGTCATTCTCAATTGACGTATAACAATATCCTTCTCAACATTGTCAGCGATGACTTTATCCAATTCTACTTTCTCATCTAGCCACCTAAAAAATTTGCAATGCTCCGTTCCACCTTCCTACATACATCGGAAAACTCAAAGCCTCGTTGTAGATCTGTATAATACAATACATCAATCATACCTTGTACAATGGGCAGCCGAAAAACCGTCTCCCAAGGTTTCTCTCTGTTTTAGATGTAAAAATCCTTGCAACAAAACCACAAATGCAGGTCTGGAGGCTTCCCGACGAAGAACCAGAGTTCGGTTGCATCTTTTAGATCTGCCTAGAACAACAGAGAACCTGCGTTTGGTTCCATCTAAATTTTGGTTCCTTTTTAGGTATACAAGTAAACCGGTGGATATAGGACCAGAATGCTATACGCCTGGCCCAAAAAAGGTATTCAACACTAACCACGAAACCATTGTTTCGTGGATGTACACTGATTCATTATCGTGCTAAAATTTGGGCAAACAGAGAACCAATGCGCCGTGGATACGAATAGAAAACTTCATTACACATAAGGGGATAACTCCCAAAAAGTTAATACAGACGAAAACTAACAATATGATCTTCAAACACAGTGAAACCAAGGGATTCCTTAAACACCAATGAAATCCTTTTACGAAAGAAGTAAAATATCTCTAGAAATGTAGAAGTAAATGTAATCCATACAACGCTGGCCGTTATACTCACCAACTGCTTCATGGTGCTCCCAACATGTTGGGAAATCTTCAAAATGCCAAATATCAGAGTATGTTCCCCAGCGTCGAGGACCAATATTGTAAATGTGGCGCATTAGAGCATCTGCTGTTGTGGCTATGGTTTCGAAAGGATACTTACTCTTCAACTCGTAGTAATCTTTTTCTGATAGGCAACCTGCGCAGCTTTGCAGCATGTAGTAAGCCAATTTCCCAACTGGGTAGATGTCTTTAATGGTACCGAGCACTAGAAGAGCTTCCTTGATGTCACTTGTTTTAAAGGCCAGAAACAACCCACGAACATACACGGCGTAGGGATTCCGGACATATAGACACGCCCCGAAGAAATTGAAATAATCACTCGTAGGCCTGCACCACCGAACAAAATCCCATCTTTTGTCTAACCTAACGGCTGCCAAAGTCTCCGGCGACATAACCGCTATTTTACCTTCCTTGCCCGCTCGAATCCAACTTTTTAGATTATCGATCCCGTCTTCAGCCACGTAGCTCACAATCTTTGCCAAAATAGGCCGGGGTATGTGAAGATTTGGGACGGGTGGACCCTGCGTTGTTTTTATAAAGTTTAAGATAATGTTCGTATAGAGATTCTAAAAAAAGAAAGATGCAAATCTTGTATTACCACAAGCTGGGGTTGCCTTCGTTCATGTAAGACAACCGATTTCGCCGGTCGGATTGTCTCTCTGTCTAGAGCACTGGGTAGGAAGAACTGTGTTTGTGCCGTTATCCTTCGCGGCTGCCATGAACATTCAGGCTCGTCGCTTTCGTATCCATTTTCAGGGTTCAGTTCGTAATCATACCCGGGGTTCATTTCGTACCAAAGTGATAAACTATGACAACAACAATTCCTAATTAATATAGAAGGGAACCCCAATCTATTGTTTGGAGGGAGATTTCCCGCGCCATGTGGTGACCAGTGTTCTGGGCGCGTACTGTTGTCCATTGTGTACATTGAATCTTCGAGCATGTAACCTTCGTGTATTGCAATGGAATCATCCACATTTAAAAAGTACTTTCCTTAGAAGTTACGACGACCACGTGGATATTTTTGTGGTGGATGTGATTCGGTGTCCGCCAGAAAACGAGTTTTCTTGAAACATTGTTATGTAGTCCATCGAGAAAAGGAGTATATTGGCTACGGACTCATCCTCATTTAAAAAGTACTTTCTTGGGAAGTTTCGCCGAACACGTGGATATTGTGTGGTGGATGTGATTCGGTGTCCGCCAGAAAACGAGTTTTGTTGAAACAAAGTACTTTCCTTCGAGGTTACGTGTCCGACATTTGTTGAAACATTGTTATGTAGTCCATCGTAAAAAGGAGTATATTGGAAGTTATCGAATAAACACAGGAGAAGTTTTTGTGAATCAGTCCAAGTTGTTTTGTGGAAAATTCCAATATCCAATTGTTGGATTAAACCATATGGATCTTCTCCAGTGTTTGACGGTGGGTTAATTATTTGGACCAATATTGCAATTATTAACAGAAATACCCAAGCATAATGTAGAGAATCCACAAAGTAATTCTGATTTAAAATGGGAAAATGTCATAAAAATCCCGAACTTTTAAATTTGGGACGATTTAATCCTGAATTTTAAAGAAGTCATTTTAATCACAAAGTTTTGTTGACTTTTCTGTAAAATAGCTAAGTTTTGTTGACTTTACTTATTTAAGCATGACTATCTGTGAGCTGCTTCTGTTTAGCTTAAATGACCATGTTTCTTAAACGACAAAACGACGTTGGAAGTCGTTTTCTTCCTCCATGGGTCCGCGTTATGGCAACAATTCAACAAGAAGTAAAGATAATTTGTGGGTTTTTCTAGAGTTAGGGAGTTAGATTTGTGAATTATGAATCGATTTTGGGATTTAGTTTCTTCAGTTTGTTAAACGACGTCGTTTTGTGGTTTGAAACGGAAGCAACTCACAGATAGTTAACCCCGTCTTTGCAATTTTAAGAGAAACTAAATGTCGTGTTTAAATCGGCTAAGTCAACAAAACTTAGCTGTTTTACGGAAATGTCAACAAAACTTTGTGATTAAAATGACTTCTTTAAAGTTCGGGATCAAATCGTCCCAAATTTGAAAGTTCGGGATTTTTATGACATTTTTCTCGATTTAAAATAGTTATATGGATAACACAAAAAAAAAGACTCCCAGGTATACACTACTCTCACCGAATCTAAACAAAAAAAGACATACTTTTTTTATTCTACTAGGTATCCACATGGACACTTTTTCAACGTTTGTAGTCCTAGTTGTGGAAAACATGAAGACACTCCGGTGCATTTGTGCGTGGATCACGGGAGAGGGTCGAACGTGCGCAACGTGGGCAACGGGGTGGTCGCAGTAGATTCTTCCTTCGCCTAGAATCGTTCTCAGATGCCTCCGTTGCAGCATCATCTAAATATGCCTTCGACCAACTACCAACACTGTAACATTTCCCAACCAAATTTGCAAAGGCTAGCCCTTGATTGCTACGTGCCCACATAGCATACGGATTCCTTCGTTGCAGGCATTTGCAGAAAAAGGAGTAATACTTAGAATGAGGCATCGACCACCATATGTAATGTTCTGATCTGTCCAAACGGACAGTGGACAGACATTCCTTCGAATAAACAGCATCCTTCCCCTCTCTCCCAGCTCTTAGCAAGCTCTTCAAAGCGTCGACACCATCTTCTCCAAGATACATAGCGACTTTCGCAAGCAACTCAGGCGGGATGTGCAACTCAGACAATGGGGGCACCTAAGAAAAATAAACTTAGGTTGATTAGTGAGGAACATTATTGAAATGATGGATTATTCATAAAAAAAATTTTAATGAACTTAGAAAATTGCTCACTCACTTACCTCTTCCGTTATTAACACCATTTTTGACTAACTTTCGCTGTGATGAAATTATATCATATATATAGACTGCATTTATCCATAATTTTGGTGAGGTGTCTGCGCACCATATATCCACATGGATAGAAGAGTGTCAAATTGGCGGGGAGATTTGGCGCTCATGGTCATGGATATCTGTCGGATAGTAGTACAAAGGCGCAGATAAAGTTGTTGTACTAACGACCACTGAACACAATTGTCCAGGGGTTTTTTAAGGTGTTTGACTGGACAGGTTTTTGTTGAATAGAGGAAATGATGTTTCTGGATAGTGATGTTTGAGTGGATTGATTTCTAGTTATTATTGTGTAATAAAGGGGAAGCCCCTAATAATGTTGAAAATTTGTCAATGGATCCTATACTTGTGTATGGTGTTCGATATCACCTATCCAATTTGGTAGATCCATGTAGATTCATATTTCTTCCATCTGATTAAGGGAAGTGACCCCGTATCATACTCGTCGTGTTATATGAAAAAGCATAAAAGACATTTCAAAAAAAACCCACATACTTTCCCCGCAATACGTGTCCAATGGATACCACAAAAAAATATCGGCCTTCGGTATCCACATGGATATAAATGTTCCGATCTTCAGACTAACACAAAAATACTACTTCCGAATAACATTACTTATACTAAAATCCACGTGGCCACTTCCAAAAAACTACATCCATGCGTTACAGTAATAAACGGGAAATCATGGCAATGGGTTCGAGCAGCTAACTCTGTTGTGCCCAATTCCTTTGCATCTTCCACACCGATTCACTTTCACCTTCCCTCCTGTTGGTTTCTTCAAATATTCACATGATGCAAAAACACAAAGCAAATTACTAACCACATCAAAAACAAGTGCACAAATAAGTTTTCATAAATTGGATAACAGTCTTACTCCAAATTCTCCAATCGATGGGATCCTCAATTCCTTAGGGCGTCCAAATGGTCTCCTTGCTTTAGGAGGGTACATAATCCGATCAACCAGGTCTGAAGGGATTTCAACTTCACTCAGTTCAGGATTGATAGAACCTTCATAAGTAGCTCTCCACAAGTCTGTCTTGTAATAATCACCCACCAATGACCAGAACGGAATGCCTTGGCTGTTTGCTGCCAGCAGAGCATGACCGCAAGGTATTTTCACTCTGTCATACTACCTACAGGAACACTGCTTCATATCCAGCAAAACATGGTGCTTCCCGTTAAGCATCCCTATGACTTCATAACTCCAACTAGAAATAACACCAATTTTGCTACCTTTCACCGCCCCCAAATTTTTGGTCATTTATTTATCAACCTCTGGACTAGTTAAGCCATAATGGTTTGCCGATTTCTTCCTTCTAGCACTGAACCATCTACTTAACAAAGCGCGGATAAACTTTAACAACTCCACAATAGGTGAGCCTCTTGCTTTTCCTATCACCTTGTTCAACGATTCTGCAACGTTTGATGTCATCAAATTGTACCTATCACCTTGGAAGTAAGCCCTGGACCAATGAGCAGCTCCTATTTTGTCCAAGTAATCAGCACAATTACTATTGCGAGCTTTGATCTGCCCATATATCTCTTTGTACGCCGTAACTTTATAGGCAAATGCAGCTTTCGTCACTAGTTTCGCAAGGCCTTTATTATGGAACCTAGCATTAACATTTCTTGCTAAGTGGACAATGCAGGCTCCATGATGC